CATGATTAAGAAAACAGACGAAAAGATGGTTTTAAGGGATGAGAAAAAGAGTCGAGTGTGCTGGCACACCCCTGTAATTTCAGTACTTGGGAAGCTAAGGCAGGAGGATTTCCACAAGTTTGAGGCCAACTTGGCTATATAGTGAATTCAAGGACAGCCTCAACTATATAGGAAGACCCTAACTCAAAAGAGAATCAGAGATGAGAAAAATTTTTTCATTAAAGAACCCACTGGAATATAGATAAGCCTTATTTAATGACCTACCTGTTCAACAACTGTTCGGACTTATGTAGGAGGTGAGCTGTTTGGACTTTTGGCCTGCTGCTACGACTTACAACCCATTTTTAAAATATATATACAGTTCTATACATCTTGTTTATATGGCCCCAATGTCTTTTTTGCACAGTACACTTCTGTATGCAATACAGTAAGTTTTGCTGACTGTGCTGTATAGTGCATATCTTAGTTACTTTTCTCATGCTGACACCCAAAGTTAGAGGAGGAAAAGTTTATTTGGCTCACAGTTTGTAGAGGTTTCAGTTCTCAGTGGGCTGGCTCCAAGGAAGGGTGGCGCGACAGAGGGGAAATAGTTCATGACAGGCAAAAGGCAGAAAGCAGCAAGCAACCCTCTTTCTGTCACTCATATTTTAGCCAGGCTACCCACCTTTGGGTAGCACTTACAGCCTTAACCCCAGTATTACACCTTGAATCAATACCAGCATCACATCCTTGATCCAAGCATCATACACCCTAGATCCAGCCACCTCCGAAAAGCTCAACCTATGACCTCATGAGACTTTGGGGGGACATCTAGACACAAATCACAACAGTGCAGTACTGTAGTTTTATGTTGTTATATATTACAGTGCTGCATGTACGAGTTATGCAAAAAGGCACAGTCATCAAGTTGGAGTTTCCTTTGACCGTTTCTTTTTCTGAATATTGTAATGTACATACTATATATAATACCTCACTTAGAAACCTAGTTGCGTGAACAGAAATTGGTCATCAAACAAGGAATCTCTCTCTATATGTACAGATCAAATGGACATTAGAAAAGTAAAAAACACAATTTCTGAAATGAAGAATTCTATAGGGTTTAGAGTAGAACACAGCAATAATATAATGCAATAGGCAACAAAAATATACAAACTGAACTAGGAATAAAAATTAATGAAAAAATAGAACAAAGAAAAAAAAAAGTTAGGTCCTTTCTTAGAATTCCAGTGGAGCAGGAAAAAAAAAATATATGAAGAGATAATGGACAAAATTTTTCTTTTTTCTTTTGGTACCAGGAATCAAACTCGGTACCTTGTGCTTGTGAAGCAGGCGGCAGCACCACTGAGCTAAATCCTCAGCCCTGAACAAAAATTTTCTTAAAAACTGATGAAAGAGTTTAGTCCACAAATTCAAAGTCAACAAGTCCCAAGGCAAATAAACATAAATAAAAGCAAACCTCACCATATGACTTGACATGTCAGTTAATACAAGCAGGCCTGGCAGAGTGGTTACTAGAAAATGTTGTGAAGAGATTTAAGAATCAAATAAGGTTTGGACTAGACAAACTCTTTGCTAAGTATAACATCTGAAGAAAAATCTTTGCAGATATTAATTGGACATATATGTACTTGAATAAATGGAATATTTGTCTTGGCTAAAGGCAGGAAAATGCAGAATAAAACTTTGGTCCTGTATCCCTCAACCAGAGAGAAAAAGAACATTCATAATATACTAAAACATGTAGAAAAATATAAACATTATTATTTTTAGGAAACAATTCCCATACTTTATAGAGATCAAAATCAAAACTACCCTCCTCTGACACTGATTTCTGTGAACCTCACCTGCCTTCTGAGCCCCTTGTTATCTGGTTTGTTAACTATGGTTCACATTCCACCAGTACAAGGTCAACTACTCACAGAACAGAGCTTCTGGGCCCACTCCAGAAAGTGTGCTCAATACGCTGGAGATTTCTGCTTGTTTTGAAGCTTGTGGCCTGAAATTACTTTTATTCCTGGCAGTAACTCTAAGTCCAGCATTAGTTTTAACATTAAAAATAACTCCCACACTGTGTTACTTGATATTCCTAAAACGATTGTTATCTTTTATACTCCCATTTTAAATAATTCACTTCTTAAATGAGAAATTTTAAGTTACTGAGAGCCATTTGAACTTTCTGGCATGAAAACTTAACACAGACTATTTTGCAGAGTTTTTCTTTTGACTTGGCTGATGCCATAAACATCAAGTTAAGATTCCTTATAATTATTCTATATTGAAGTCTGGAGGACAGTCATTTACAGTAACTCAAGGGTAGCTTATAAAAATAGATCCAACCTGAAAACTTATCTGTGCTTATAATAAGAACTGCAAACAAAATCACACTCAAGGGACAAATATTTATCCTCATTATTTACTCATCTGGATGACGCGAGTAATATCTTAACTACCCAAATCTGTTCAGCTACATTAACATTTAGGAGATGTCCTGTGTTGTAAAAGAAACAACTACAAAGAACTAATAAATATTACCATAAAAGCTGTATGTTTCTACATGGTTCACACACCGTTTGAACATATTCTTGAATATCTGTCGGTTATTCTTAAATAACAAATATGATGATAAATTATCAAAAAATGCTAATAGATGTACATATAAACATTGAGCAATGCACTGTAACGATGCAAACTTTCCTTTGACATCAAATCCCTCTGAATGTATTACAAACTCTACAAAACACCACCTATATCTTAAACGTGATTTTCAAAATATGCTAACTAGACAGAACTAATTTTACCACGGACCGTTCTGTTATATTACAGATAAGAACAAAAAACAGAAAGATTAGATGCCTGAGGCCACAGCACAGAGGAAGGGTGGTAATAAAAAGGGGGAAATTCAGGAGCCTGCATATGCAGGTCTTACACTTCCTGCAGGGAAAAAGGAACAACGCTTCCCTTCTCCATTGCCACCATCGCTGCCTCAGTGATTCTCCTTCCCAAGAGGTGTTCACTCAGCCAGGACAGTTTAAAAATACAGATATCTACAAACAGTAGTCTGAACATATGTTTATTTTATTTTATTTTTTGAGACAGGGTCTCACTATGTAGTTGAGACTGATCTGGAACTCACTAGATAGCCCAGGCTGGTCTCAAACTCACAGCGATCCTCCTGCCTCAGCCTCCGGAATGTTGGGATTACAGGTGTGTGCCACCATGCCCGGCTCATTTATTTTTTGTAATTCCTTTTTTTAAGGAATAAAAAAGTATACACCTACAAGAAGAAACAGAATAAGAAAACTAAAAAAAGAATGAGAAAGAAAGTTTACCAAAAAGAAAGCAGTAAGAGAGGCTGATGGAATTTTAGAAAGCAGAAAGTGAATGCACAAAAACTACTGGAAACTTAACAGGCTAGAGAAAGCGAACACCTCAGTGCCCATGGGGCAGGGATGAGGATCAGCAACAGCAAGTTGATTCTGGCCATGAACTTCTACAAAGGTAAAAGTAGGGGTGAGGGGTGGGACTTAGTGCCTTTTCTGCTGTTGTTACAGAACATCACAAGACCGGGTAATTTATAATGAACAGAACTGGTCTGGCTCACCGTTCTGGAGGCTGGCAAGTCTAAGATCAAAGGCTCACACCTGTGAAGAGCCCACTGTGCCGGGTGATGGCAGAAAGGACCCCATGGAAGGAGGGAAGGAGAGGGAAGAGGAGAAAAGAGTAGGGGAGGAGAAAAGCGAGGTGGGGAGGGAAGGCAGCTGGCCTCAGCCTTGTACCGGGGGATTACCACTGTGATGATGAACCCGCTTTCCCGAGACAATGGAACTGCTCCTCTCAGCACTGATGCACTGGGGACTGTTTTAACGCAAGCTTGCAGGATACTTTCAAACCATAGTAGGGACTATGACTGAAAGTTTTAAAGTCTGAACAAGAAATAACTGGAGTTCAATATCCCCATACCATAGTGAGGACACCAGCCCCCTGCAATTCTGCAAATGATGGAGGCTTATTCTCTGGACAGAATGATCCAGTGGGGTTACAGGGAAGGTGGCAGCAGGAGCGAAGCAGTGCCCAGAAACATAAGGGTCGTGGCAAAGTCTGCTTTTTGACTATAACACTATTAGGTGCACAAAGTTGAGCAAGAGAAGGAAAAACAAGGACGATGTTCAAACTGCAACTGCTCCACTGAGCCTACCACAAAGTACAGTTCCTTCCACCACATTTGTCTAACTGGTTCCTGGAAAGAGCGTTGGAAATGGTAGGACATCTAATAAACCTCTACTGTGAAAGAAAAGTTTAGTTCTCCACTGCTCAAAGCATGCTTGTTAAAGCAAGTCTTGGCAAACTGAACAGCAGCATGGTATGACGAGCTGTGTGATGAATCCCTCACAGTTCTGGGGCAAAAAATTAAAATATCTTAGCTGGGTAGCAAATGCAATGTCCACCATTTGATTACTGCATTAGTAGAACTCTCCCCATGTCACCAACTTCACAACTATTTAAGCAAAAAAAAAAAAAAAAAAAAAATTAAATTACAGTACATTTACTGTGTACCTATAAAAGAAAATGTGTGAGAAAAACACATTATTACCTATGAAGCTCTTCCCAAATACAAAGATCTGCTTTTGCAGTACTTTGACAGCTTGGATTTTTTTTTTAATGTTATAACAACCTTTTTTGGTAACATTTTCAATTAGTAATTATTCAAAGACTTAACTGTTTGGTTCAGTAAGAAATACAAGAACATGCGAACACATACAGAGAGCGTATGTACCACTGTTACAAATCTGGAGAAAGTAACTGTGTTCTCAAAGCATTAGTACTGAACATCATTCTAGTTAAAACTACTGCTTAAACAAGAGAAGCCTCCTGATAAACTATACCAGGCCATATGCATACTAAATGGACGCATTTCTTGTGGGAATCACCTCCACCACTGCCCTGAGGACCTGGCCCCAGCCTCCATACCCAGCTCCACGCCCGGCCCCATGGCCACATACCTTCTCCCTCAGCTACATCAGAGCGGTCCAGCTTGGTTTCCTTGTGCTGTCCTTCTGCGACTTTCACAGCAACAGCTCGGCAAATGGCCCCAAATTTTCTATCCAGAGAACGAACCCCTGCCTCTCTGGTATACCTGTCATCAAAGAAGAATTTTATTTTTGTTTATATATCATCTTTAAAAACAGAGGTAATGTGATTAACCTTTTTAACTAATGAAATATTGGTAGTCAGGCATATCCTTTAAGGAAGCAGATTTTAAAAGTCATGAGCTGTTAATAATAAAATAAAACTCACTGCTGGGGATTTAGCTCAGTGGCACCATGCCTGCCTGGCAAGCACAAAGTCCTGAGTTCAATTCCCAGTAACACAATTTTTTTTTAAAATTTAGAATAAAAAAGACTTATTTTAATCAAACGGATAGAGGATATAAAAAAATGAGGTCCATATTTCACAACTGCATGTAATTTTCAGTAAAAGAGAAAATGGAGGTATTGTGGAAATAAATAAACCAATATATAAAAATAAAATAGGGAAGGGTGAAGGGGGTGAAGGGAGGGCACGGGCATAGGGAAAAAACAAGAACCAAGATATATCCTGTAAAGGTACAAGATCCCAATGATAAATGTAACTGTACTGTTTGCTTTAAATGTACCAATAAACAATGGAAAAACAAAACAAAACAAAAAAACCCTGATCAGCTCAGCAAATGGGTCTGGACAAAAGACAGATACAGAGGAAGTGAAGAAGCATGTGAAGGAATGGTATGAACATGGAAACATGAGACTTGAAGTTCAGAATGAACTGAAGCCTGACAAAAACAGTAAGAACAACAAAAACACTTATGTGTTTAGAACAATAATGGGCTAGGAATGAATACAGATAATACATTATTAACAGCTGACCAAAAAAACAAAAAATGTAGATGTATCAGTCCCTTTCTGGTATCTTTAAATGAAAAGGGAAGACTCACCAGTATTTTATAAGAACTGGGTGAGGCAGGGCCAAGGACTTAGCTTAGTGGTAGAGTGCTTGCCTACTAAGTGCAAGGGCATTTCTCGCATTGACTTGAACATAAAACAGTACACACTGATGACTTTCAGGACATAAAGTGAGTGGTTTTTTGTTGTTGTTGTTTTGATACCAGGGATCGAACTCAGGATCTTGCACTTTTGAGGCAGGCATGATACCACTGTACTAAATCTCAAGCCCAAAACTAGTGTTTTTGACAATAAGATAAAAAGTAATTTTCTTTTAGTAAATAGGGGAGGGTGGAGGGGGTGAAGGGAGGGAAGGGGTATGAAGAAAAAATGAGAACCAAGATCTGTCATGTAAAGGCACACAATCCCAATGATGAAAGTAACTGTATTGTATACTTAAAAATTACCAATAAACTCAATAAAAAAAAGTAATTTTCTGCTTGTATAGCTGAAACAGTATGTTTCTTCACGGTAGCTGAAACTAAACTATATATACCTATAAACTTCCACATGTGGGCTTTAAGAAATTCAAATATTTAGCTTTAGGAAGAGAGTGGTATAGATCTGATATTATTTATTTTCAAGTTCAGAAGGGACATACAAGGGAAGAAAGTACAAATTAAGATGCTCCTATATAAGGGAGAAATTGAAAAATTTAGGAATGTGAACATAAAAAATACTTTTATGACAATCAGAGTCCTCACCAAGAGGAAGTTAGCACTAAGTGACATAAGACTGGAGGTATGCAGATAGGTTGGTTACACTAGGACTAGTGCATTACAGGCAACAGTGATGACAAACTTTTTAGAGCTCTCAATGATAACAGATAGAGAGCTGCAGCATGCATTCCATAAATTTGCTACCACTGGTCTATGACATACCCCAAAAGATGAAAATTTCAACTCTATCCTAAGTCTGGTAACTCACTAAGTGTGAAAAACTTGTCTAGAGTAGCATATACTTGCATTGCTTTAAAAAATTAGAATAGAACTGCGCAGAGAAATTTCCTAAAGTCCACAGCTTTTAAGATTTGATAAAAATGAAACAATTCTCCAGAGAATTGTGAAATACTAATAGTGATTACTTTCAGAATCACTGTGATTCAGATTCAGAAAAACTATGCATTTTTCTCTATCACTCCTACTTTACAGATGGGGAAGCTACCAAAAAGGTTAAGTACCAGGGCCAGGAATTTAGCTCAGTGGTTCCACTGCCTGCCTGGCAAGTACAAGGTCCCGAGTTTGATCCCTGGTACCAAAAATAAGTAAGTAAATAAATAAAAAGCTTAAGTACCAGTTAAAAGTTAAAATAAGATGTAATAGGTGTTATTTAGAACAATAATATTACTATAAGACTTTAGCAAATCACCTAATTCATTTCTTCTGGCATTATCCATGCAGTGTATCACTAAACAGATGAAGAAAAGGAACCCCTAGGTCAAATTTCGGCCTGGTATTTTATATATCAATTAAAACAGACCTCCCAAAAGTCTGGCATAGATGAAAAGGGAACCTGACTAGCCAAACTCCAATAAAGGCAGATACTTCCCATCTTAAAAAGCATCAGTTGCTAGAAGAGGGCTACACAAGGAGAGCCTGGCAGCCTTAAGTAACTTGCTGGATGATGCAACGGATCTGCAACACCGTGCCAGGGAAACTGGAAGAACAAATACAAGTTCTCAACAGGGCACAGTTTCCACTCAGTAAGTTAGACTAAGCACTCTACTCAGATTATGCAGGCTTGCCACAGGCTTACGTACTTGGTACAAACTCAGGAAAGCACCTTCTCTATAGTACTGGTGTTAATTCTGCAGATCAAAACTGAAGGATTTTTAGGATCTCTCAAAGAGAAGAAACCTATTCAGATGTCTACAAGTAGCAGCTACCTCTTAAGAAAATTCAACAACTCTTAAGATCCTAGGATAAAATGTGTGTCTATATTTTCCATGTGTTTGGTTCTTAATTTATCAAATCAATCCCTTTTATTGCTGTAGTGACAAAGTAGAAATTCTGGTTCAATGAAAGTCCTTTGCAGTGAAGACATTCTGTGAAACTCTGTCTCACATAGAGTGCTGTGTAAGCCCATAGCTTTGGCAATGCTGGCTGGAAAGCTGCCAGAGAGAGAGAAATGGATGTTGCCAGTACACAGGCCTCTTCCTCACATTGAACAGCGAGGAAGCCTCAGGATGCTCACTGACCTGGTGATGATGGCCAGAGTAGTATCCTGGGGGATCTGAATCTGCTGAGGAGTCAGCCCATGTTGCTCCAGTTGCTTTGGGATCAAGTGCCTATGGGCAATCTCTATCTTCTCCTCCTGTGAATACCCTGGAAAAGAAGGAACTCTGGTCTGTAATTATTCATGCCACTCTCACAATGCTGTGCTTTCTTTCTTTCTTTCTTTTTTTTTTTGTTTGTTTTGTGCTGGGGATCGAACTTGGGACCTTGTGCTTGTGAGGCAGGGAGCAGAACCACTGAGCTAAATCCCCGGCCCAATACTGTGCTTTCTTAATAAATCAAATGCAGATTTAAGTATTACTTCAACCAATATTATAATCAGAATAAAGAACTTTAAATACATAATTGTAAAAATTTCAAATTTTTCACAAAAGCCGTTAAGTGACATATCCCTCAAAGAGAAAAACATCTTGATCAAAACTTAGACACAATTAGCTCCTTATCCTGAAATGCTCTCAAATTTTAAATAGGAAAACAAATGCATCCCCTTTCTTTAGTATTGGTAAAACTAACTTACACACCCACACCCACATAGGACTTCAACTAAATAAACAGTGGGTACTACAGGGATGGCTCCAAAGGAGCTACTTCTAGAACCACAGTTATAAATTTTAGCAACAATACAAAAAACTAAGGTATCACTATAAAATTTTTCCCTCATAAGTTGGAAAAAAATATATAAGACATTCAAGAAAAAGACTATGTTCTTATTTAGAATTTTCAATGAATATACTTATTTTATCTTTAAAGTCCATAAGAAAAAAATTTCACCTCCATTAATTTGCCCTGTTTAACAAACAAATTCAATGTAAATGGATACAGCATCTTTTGAACAGAGCGAGGTGGTTAAAAATCACCAGAAAAGTCAGCAGCATGCCTCACAAGTGCAAGGTCCTGAGTTCGATCCCAGGTACAAAAAAAAAAAAAAAAAAAAAAAAAAAAAAAAAAAAGAAAAGAAAAGTCAGCTGTAAATCTGTGGGAGGAAGAAGGTGGTGCCACATGTCACCTCTGCACCAGCTGCCCTGATTATGTCACTTTGTACTAGTGTACCTGATAGGTTTTCTGTCTTAACCTGGAGTTTCCAGGCAGTCTCATTATTTATTCATTTTAGTCTTATAAATACCCTCAAACAACTTATGATTCTACTATATTTTAAAATTAAGTAGAGAAATTGGAAAGGCTTTAAGAAATTCAACCATCATTCAATCAACAGGAATATTTCAGATTAATATGAAAAACACATTAGGATTAATTTTAGAATCTAAATACATTTAGATTCTACTATATTTTCACTTTAATGAGTAGCCATTGATACTTAATTTTGTCTAGGGCAGAATGCTTCTGAGCAATTAAAAGTAAGGTGAAAAGGCTAAAAGGACTTTATTTTGTACCCTCCAGTGAAGGAGAACACATGGTAAAAAAATATATAACAGTCAACTTAAAAGAATACTTTTAGACAAAAATGAGGCCAGATTTAATAAAGAGAATGTTCAGTTATTCTTTAGGAATAACTTAACAAGGATAAATGATCACACAACACTTTTCTATCAGATGATAAAACCTCCAAAATCTGACATAGAGGAAGTTATCCTTGGATTTTAGACATTTATTTTGCAAAAAAAAAATTATTTTTTATCTGTAATTTTAGAAACTGATTTCAAAGAAGAATGGCTTACTTTCTACACAAAGTGATCATTCTTTAATGTGTAATTAAACATGATTGTGTCAAAATTTATTCTTTTTTTTTTTTTTTTTTTTGTTGTACTGGGGATTGAACTTGGGAACTTGTGCTTGTGAAGCAGATGGCAGAACCACTGAGCTGAATCCCCGACCCCAAAATTTATTATGTCTTATAGGACTACACGCACTCTCACAATATAAACAAACAAGTTTTGCTGCTTCGGAATTTAACTCTACATAAAAGGTGTCTAATACACCTTACTCAGAACTTTTGAAGATTACTCAGTGGCAAATAAGCTTCTTTATTCAAAACTCCAAGCATGAGCAGTTTTAAAGGGCATGCTCAGAAGGCAAGATACACCAAAAATAATGACTTTATTAACTGGATACCTGGAACTGGGATGATCTCCATTCTGTCCAACAAGGCAGGTGGAATAGTAGCAGTGGTGTTGGCAGTAGCTATAAAAAGGACTTGGGAAAGGTCAAAGGTCACATTCAGATAATGATCTGTGAAGTTATGGTTTTGTTCAGGATCCAACACCTAGGAGAGAATAATAAACATTTAAACACATTTAGTAGCGGCTATAAAAGCTACACAAATTAAAACACACGTAGTGTATTAGTGAGGCCGACATTTCTGCTCCAAATGTTTTGTAAAACAGAGATAACACTAAAACTTGAACATTATTCTTTGCATTTTCCACATTCTAAGTACTGTTTAAAAAAATGTAAAATGTTCAGTGCGAAAATTTCTGAAAACATATAACAGCACAAGCAAGAATTATATTTTCAAGCTTTGTTTTAAGATCTACTTATTAATAGCCCATTATAGGCTCATCATAAGGGACTGCAGAGCCAGTTCCCCTCTGTAGCACACCCCATCTTTTAACCTCTACGGGAATACAAAGTACATGGGAGGTTTTTTGAGGGGATGGATGTGGTGGGGTGTTTTTGAAATTCATAGGTACCTGACAAAATAATAATCAGCAATATCACTCCTGAAACATTATCAGAAAGTCTGGTATAAATTCCTTGAAAGGGAAATTCCAAATAAGCTAGAAGACATTTCTATATTCTTTTATAGCACAGCTAAAATATAGGTTTTTCAAAATGTCTTAAAGCAAAACCTTTCTGCTTATAATAAATGAATATAAATATATCTTAAAAACACACTGCCATATTAGATAACTTAGCAATTAGATCCTTATCAGGAACAACTACATACTAAAGTGACTGTATCTTCCTTTGGTTGTTATGTTCCAAGTTACAGGCACTCACTGTTAACAGACCTACACCGGGACCTGAAACAGGCCAAACAGTGCTTTCGAATATTCTGAACTGTAAACATGTTGCCCTTTAACTTGTACCACAATTTTTTGTTTTTTGAGACAGGGTCTCATGTAGTCCAGGCTGGCCTTGAACTCACAGTCATCCTCTTGCCTCAGTCTACCAAGTGCTCGGATTACAGGCGTGCACTACCACACCCAGCTTTTATACCAGAGTATTTTAAATAGGACTGACATACATATTCAAAAAGGAAATAACATAACTAAAATACGTACTTACTACAATTCACTAAAAATCAGGCTTCCCTTGCTTATAATTTCTATTAAAGTTATACTTATTTTAAAATTATATAATAGTTCTAATTCTAGGCCTTTTGCTTTTTATTTTGTTTTGCTCTTTGAGATAAGGTCTCACCATGTAATTCAGGCTGGCCTTGAACTCCTGGTGATCCTCCTGCATCAGCCTCCTCAGTGCTGAGATTATAGGCATGCACCACCACACCCAGCCCTTTAGTCATCATCTTCAATTTTGTTAAATATTCATTGTTGTAGAAAATCTGTCAGATCATGCTCCGAAATGATCTAATTTCACATTTTCACAAGACTTAATAATGTTTAATGTTATATAAAAAAAAAGGTACTTCCAAGTGCTCATGGAAAACTATGTTCAGTACAGAACTGACTAACATTATTATAGACACCTAAATTTGGTGGAAATGTTAGAGGTAGTCAGACAGCGCTCGACCTTTGAGGGATCAGTGCAGAAGATGAGAACACACGGCACCTGTGGGTAGTGGCACACTGGTTGAAGGTCAGGCCTCAAGATAAAGATAGAATGACCAGACCTACCTGCCTCCCCAAGAGATAAGCAATAAATTGAAGATATTATAATTGGCATCACCTGACCCAATAAAAGTTTAGATAGACATCAGTCAGCCAGGTGGGTGACCAAGACCTCCTTCCTGATCCATCCCTTCCTGAAAAGGTCCTTGTGCTTTCCATGTACACTTGCTATGTGACGTGCTTTCCTACTGGATCAATATTATCTATGCAGCTATACTTGTAATCTTATTAGTTGATCACAGTTATGACCCACATCATACCCATCTGGTGATTTTGCTCTCTAAAACTGCTGTAAGTAGGGTCTGTGGCAAACCACTTTTAGGTCCCTTCCTGTCTCTCAGGAACTCTCTCAAAATTTTTTTCTACTCTTCATCTCTATTGTTTCTTAGACTTCATTCTTCGATTTTGGGGAACACAAACTTGGTATATCTGACACCTAGCAGGTAGGGAATTATATTATTTCTTCTATATGATTTGGAGGTCCCACCAAGATAACTGGCAGGAGGTAAGCGTCTGCTTCTGTTCCACAAAATCTGGATTGTGACTTGTTTAGGTAATCAGAAACTGTCATCCTTGTTTGTCAATTGCTAACACCTTGAACTTTTATGCCTTTTTTGTTAAAAAGATGATAAATTTAAGTTGGGAACATGGGAAGGTTATGATGTTTCTTTGATGGGACATTTTAGTTTTGCAGGCAAGGTCTTGCTTGTATTCCTGTTTTATACATGCTGCATTTGGACTTACTAGTTGCTGAATTTACTGGTGTTCCTGGCTTGACCTGTTTGACTTGTGGTTTGTTCTCTTAGACAGCACTGCTAGGAAAAAGTAATTTGGAGCGTCCTCTAGTGGTATGTGATACTAACAAAATGTGAATTTATGGAATGCTACAAAATGGGTCTTTTTATGAAACCTAGTTTATGTTTAGGATATACACATGTCTATTAATAAATCATGGGACACCAACTATCAGTTAAAATGCAATAGGCAAGCAGGTCACCTCGGGGGGCACCTTGAAAAGATATAGAGAGCAAGAGGGACTAAAAGGGACACCTGTTTTCCTCTTGCTGTTCTGCAAATGGAAAATTCAATGTCAAATTCCCTAACTCCTTTAGAATGCCCCCCCCACCTTCTTCTTTCTGTGGTACTGGGGGTCATACTCAGGACCTTGCACGTGCAAGGCAGGCATGGTGCCACTGAGCTAAATCCCTGGATCTTTCACAATGTATTCTTAAGCACTAGAAATTGTCATATAGTGAAAAAGAGCTGTTTAATATTTTTCTGCATTCAAGCATGGCCTGCCTACCCCCTAGAGGCACAGTGGAATACAGAGGTAAGTACTGATTATGATACTATTTTATAACTAGAATTTTACTTTAAGAGAGAGGGAGGATGGTCAGAATTACCTTATGTTCAGACTTTCTTTGCACTAAGATATAATCTTTAGTTGTGTTCAAAATATAAATGTAAGCCACAGGAAAACCACATATCTCTGGCCCTTAAGACACAATCACCTACTGTTACTGAGCCTGAGGTTTCCCTCTCTTGCCCTTCAGAACCTAAGGATGAGGTTTCCAAGACAAATTTAATTAAAGCCTCACCTACTATGACGGAACTTGAGGTTCTCCTCACGCCCTTCAGATCCTATGTCAAGGTTTTCAAGCTAACCTTAATCAAAGCTTCATCCACTATTATTGAAACTGAGGGTCCCCTCACCTGTCCTCTGGACTCTAAGGGTGAGGTTTTCAAGCCAACTTTAATTGAAGCCTTGACTGGGGCATATCCATTCTTATCTGATTTTGCTCAAACTCTTCAAAGACAATATCCCTTGCAGAGGAGGTTGGAAAATTCAGCCCTAGACAAGCCCACATGCCCTTTTATCTCAGTGACCTCAAACAGATCAAACAAGTTCTAGAAAAGTTTTCAAATAACTCTGATAAGTACAATGAGGTCTTTAGGGGACTTACTCAGACATATGAATTAAACTGGAAAGATGCAATGTTACTCTTAAATCAAATATTGACTTCTAATGGCAAGCAGAATTACAAGCTGCTATATTACATTTAGAGATAAATACATTTTTAATTTTAGAAGGCCAGAATTTTAGATAGGCAGCCAGGGGAACAGCAAGTTCTTACTGGAGCCCAAGTAGTTCCTACACAAGATTGCTAGTGGCCTACCTACCAGACAGGAGACTGGAATAGGAAACATCTTCAGGCATGTATTCTTTCGAGGCAGGTGGTGGGACCACTGAGCTAAATCCCGGCCCTAGGCACGTATTTTTGAAGGTCTAACAAGGACAAGAACTAAGCTCTTCAACTATTTTAAATTGTCAACTATTCATCAGGAGAAAGATAAGAACCCCTCTGCCTTCTTAGTTTACAAAAGGCATTGATAAAACATACATCGCTGGCTCCTGATTTAGTAGAAGGACAGATTATACTTTTTGTTTGGTTTTTTTGAGACAGGGTCTCACTATTAGGACAGATTATTCTTAAAGACAAGTTTATTACCCAGTTAGCCTCAGATATTAGGAAAAAGCTACAAAAAGATGGCTTTTGCTTCAGAGAGCTCACTTGATACTTTGTGAGAATTGCCTCAATATTTTATAATTGAGAAGAGAAACAGGCCAAGTAGAAAAACAAAGAGACCAAGAGAAAGTGGTTTCCTTGGTTGTCTAAGGAATAGACTCTAAAAGTCTGGTTCTTGGGACTCCAAGAAATACTTGATGACTAAACTTACCTGTTATCACTGTGGAAAGCCAGGTCATCTTAGGAAGGACTGTGTTAAGAACCATCACAACAAGAGGTCCTCTGAGCCATGCCCTGAGTGCAAAAGTGATCACTAAAAGTAAGATTTCCCCTTGAGACAGAGGTTCCAAGGATCAGACCCATCTTACCAGCTGATCCAGCAAGACTGAAGGGCTCCAGGGCTCTCTGTCTTCTCCCTCTGGCCAGACTGTCATCTCCATGGAGGAGCTCTGGGTAATCATGATTATAGAGGGAATAAAGCCCAGCCTGTTGCTGCACACTGTCACATGTCTCTCGGCCCTTCTTTTCAAACTTGGCCTCCTTCCTGCCATCACACATCAGTGAAAGGAGTCACTGGAGAGGTGGTAACTTGCTATTTCTCATAACCCTTAGGCTATAACTGGGACGGCTTTCTCTTCTCCCATTACTTTTTGGTTATACCTGAAAATCCATTTCCCCTCCTGGGGACAGATATCTTAACTTGTTTGAATCCCATAATATACATGCACCCACGTCAGGTATACTACCTCCCCCTCGTGGAGAAAGAAATCAATCCTGAAGTATGGGTAACTAATGGTAAAAGAGAAAGAACAGTAGGAGCGGCCCTGGTGCAAATACATCTCAAAGATCCTACTATTTTTCCTCACTGTAGGCAATACCCTCTA